TGTGGATCTATAGTCATGGCATAGAACCAGAACACAAAAATAACTGTTGTCTCTTATAAAGCATTTCTAAGTGATATCAAGCTTTATGCAGCTAGCAGGGGTGGGTTCTAAATTTTTTTACTACTGGTTCTGTGGGCGTGGCTTATTTTGTGGGCGTGGCTTGGAGGTCATGTGACTAGGTGGGCGTGGCTAGCTGATCAGAGTCATTTCTGGAAGGTCCTCGCACTTACGACCAGTCCTCGCACTTACGACCCAACTCATTTGTTTGCTTTTAACACCGATCAGCTGTAGGACGGTCTTTTGAAGCCCCGTGGCAAGAGTTTAAACAGTTTTTTTCCCTCTAGTCATCAGCTGGGACTCAGGAGGCAGCAATAGATTGGGGGTGGGACCAAATAAAAGGTAAGAATAACGTGAGTGGGTGGGTGGGTGGGAGGGGGGGGAGAACTGGTTCGGTGACGTCATATCGTCACCGCTACCAGCTTGGCCAAACCGGACCGAACCGGGAGGAACCCACCACTGGCAGCTAGGCATGGTCAAGAATGCAAGAACTATACAAGTTTCAGTAAGGTATTTTCACTGGTAGATTGGGGTAAATTTTGGAGACTATCAGAAGAATTACTTACACCTCCATATAGTGAATTAATTAAGATAAGGTCTTTTTGAATGATTTGAAATACTTCTTTGCTATCTGGACTGAATGACAATGCATCACACAAATACCAACTAATTTGTGCTCTTTCTCTTGTTGATTAGGTCTATTCTCCTTTGCATTCCTTTCTCAGCCTCCCCACAATTTTCCTTTCCTGATTCACATGAAAAAATAGAGCTGAATGTAACTGATGACAAATACTGATGAACTCCAGATTTCTTGATGACTGCCTCCAGTGGCTTCATGTAGGTAGATATTTAACAGTAGTGAAGAATAGAACTTGTGATACCTACAAAGCTTAAGGATCATGTGTCTAGACCAAGGGTGTCAAACTGGCAGCCCGGAGGCCGGATGCATCACGTATAGGCCATACCCAGCCCAGCTCCGCGAAGGGCAAAAAATGCTGTGATATGTCATGTAATGGCAACGTGACACTGCAAGTTTGACACCCATGGTCTAAATTAAAAACCTACACTGCCATTTTTTGCTGGTAGGACTGCAGAGAGGGGGAAAAAATCCACTGCCTTTAATTTGATGCCTTTATATCACATGATCAGTGATGTAAAAACCAGGAGATGCAACATGTTAGAATTTTCTGTCTCCCTCCTGATAAGTGTAATCAGTCAGGACATTCAAGGCTGCTTTGATGCTAAACTCAGGCTATAAGCTGTTCTGAAATAGATCTTACTATCCTCTACAGAATCTAGCTCAAAATTTGCAGCTGAGTAAACAATTGTCCAGCAGTATTAAAAGCAGCTTTAGAATCAATAAAAATGTGACATGAACTATGTGATCATTTGGGGACTTTGGTTGCTCAGTTCTGTCTTAGGGAGAATATATATCACCAAAATCTAAATGACTGAATCTACTGCTTCACATATGTAGGGCACATGCTGTACTGCTGGCTTATAGATCCTCCCTTCATAAAGATAAATGCCAGGGATACTTTGAAGCTGATTTCAAGAAAAGCTCCCCTTTCCCACCTTTCCCCATTTCACTGTTTCAGCTAGGTACTCCCTGCCCCACTTTGTCAGTTAATGAAATTAAAAAAACCCAGGACTGGATCTCTTCTTCAGAAATATGCTTACATCTTTCCAAAACACAGAATAAATGGTAGATCACAGGATGGGGAAGTGGACAAATCTTCTTCTGCCTACCCATCCATTACTGAGGCTATTTTCTCAAGTGAAGCGACATGTAGTTTCATGCTAGTTTAATACACTGGTTCCTACCAATAGCCATACTATTTGGCAGCAGTAGATAACTAGTGGAATGAAGTGGTTGAGTATGCACATCCAGGTGGAAATGGCCCAGGGTAGCTTCCAAAGCAGCATACAATCCTGAAAAAAGACATGACTGTTTTAACAAGCTAAAGGGGTGACCAGATGCACTCCCAAATATTCTAACATACTATTTTGAAAGATCTGCATATTGCTAGAATCCAAATATACAACTTTGCATCCCAAAAAGTGGCCTGTTGAAGCTTTTGCATATGAAATGAGAATATACATCACACACCTTCTCACATAAGCATTACTTGGTCTGCTGTGTGGATGCTTGGGTGATTTAGAAGTGGGGAATTTTTGGTGGGTGGGGATGTGTTTAGGGAATGTCATGTATGTTGGGCTTGGTCTCTGGGTGTTATGTGAATTTCGTTGTATGGGTATACTGTGTATATACATACAATGACAATAAATTTTATATATATAACAGTCAAAATGCTTTATGTATGCCAAATGTGTGACAAGCTGACAGAGATGGCATCTCCCAATGGAGCTGGGCTGCATAAAGAAAAGCATAAAGATTGTTCAATTTTTTGTTGTGATCATTGCAAGTGATGACAAATTAACAGCAACACATACAAAAATGAGATCCAAAGCAAAATATTTCAGTAATGAATACTTTTGCTCAGAATTTCACCCAGGTAGCCAATTTTCAGAATATTCTATCTGTCAAGCAAGATTAGAATTATTTCTCTCTCTCTCATCTATTTAAGGTATTCTCTTTTGTATTATAGATAATAATCAATGAAAATAACTGTTTTGGTTAGATAAGAATCTACATTGGGAAAATACATTTGCTTAGAAGACGTTATATTATTTCTTAAGTAAGGATTGGCAAGACATTATAAATTATTTACTATACATATTTTTCTGCTATGAGAAATAAGGGAAAATCCAGAAATGTGGTTTCTGGAGATCTCAGATTTATGGAGAACGATAAACATTGCAAAATGAATAATATTCCCAGAGTGATAAATGTAATTTGAGAAAATTCAGTGTATTTCAGATGTATTGATAGTTAAAAGAAAGTTTTTATGAGAAGAGTAAACCCCTATATTTTCTTTATCTAAATCAGAATCATCATTACATGAGTGGAGTTTTAACTTATGTCACTATAATAGTCACAAATGGGCATATTGATTTACTTTGCAAATGGGCACAATACTTAAAATTCTCCATGGGATTCAAGTACTGTAATCACACTCCAAAATATCATGGATATAGTTTTTAAAACTTATTGAATAATAGTTTATGAAAAATCTGGGATGCTTAAAACTGAGGAATCCACTGATTATATTCAATTAAAAATTCATCTGATTTCACATTTTAGTCCAGATACATCAGGACATCTAAAGCTCTTGAATTATTTCTGCACAGAAATGAATTTTGTATGAGTTGAAATTTGTACTATTTTAAGTAGACAATTGAATGTACAGTTAATGTATCTGTGAGCGGATGTTGTGCACTGATGTTATCTAATTGGGTAATAAAATGTCTGCAAGCAAACAACCAAGCTCAGAGAACATCAAGGATTTCACAGTTCAACTCTTGATCTACCTATTATAATATATACCTATTATATTGTCTTCTATTACAGGTAATTAATGTGTCCATTAATTATTTAGAAGAACTTCGGAATAAAGACTCGGGAAATCTCAAGAAAACAAACCAAAAATGAAAGGTTTTAATGATCTCATAATGAGATTGATTCAAGAGAAGTTTCCCCATCATTAGACATCTCATAAAAGATAAAGGTAAAGGTTCCCCTTGCACATATGTGCTAGTCATTCCCGACTCTAGGGGGTGGTGCTCATCTCCGTTTCAAAGCCGAAGAGTCAGCGCTGTCTGAAGACATCTCCATGGTCATGTGTCCAGCATGACTAAACGCCAAAGGCACACGGAACGCTGTTAACTTCCCACTAAAGATGGTCCCTATTTTTCTACTTGCATTTTTTACGTGCTTTCAAACTACTAGGTTGGCAAAAGTTGGGAAAAGTAATGGGATCTCACCCCGTTACGCGGCACTAGGGATTTGAACTGCTGACCTTTCGATTGACAAGCTTGGCGTCTTAGCCATTGAGCCACCCCATCCCCTAGACATCTCATAGAATGTTAATGTCTGTGAGTTAATTTGATATGTTAGAAATGTAGAATGATGGTCAGGATTTATGAAAATGATAACAACTTTTTTTTCACCATTACTGGATTTTGACTTAATATCCATAAATGTTATATCCCAAAATTTTAGATTTTTGTCATCATACAATGAACTATGGATTTTCTAAGTATAGCCACAGCATATTTTCAATATAGACAGTATTACCATGCTGTGCAATCACTTAGACAGCAAGTGACAGTTGCTGTAGACAGTAAGATGGGCAGTATATAAATTTAATGAATAAATTTACCCCAAACAATATGTGACTGCCTGTCTGTTCTTTATCAATGCAATATAATATTGTAAGATCAAGGTTTAATAATGATTTCTTTTTTTTTTAATGACTGGGTTATGAATGGGTTATATACTGGTTTTGTCCTCCTCCTTTTTATTTTTTCTGTATGTTATCAATTCTAAAAAGGCATTCATTACGTTGATTAACTGTGTATCTTATTGTTTCTAGAACCGCCAGGTGATTAGGCAATTTCATTTTTAGCATGACTATTCTTTTCGACCACGGATCATGCAACATTTTTGAAGGTATGATAGTTAAATTCATTTTGCCCGGTGTCCAGCCAAGAAGCTCAGGCCAGGTGAGGTGATTTAATTTGCGAGGTCGGCTAAGATCTCAGGAAGTAAGGCAGGCCTAGGGTCACCAAATCAGCGTCTGTGTGAAGATGCTGGTCCACTAGGCAGTTCCCGATTTCCCCCCCACCCCCCCACAACCTCTCCTCGCCCTCTGGCTACGACCTCTCCCTACGACCAGCCCCGTTTTCCGCAGGCTGCCCAGCGCGCAGGCGCTGCCATTTCTGGCTTTCGCCTTCTCCTCGCCCCGGGCGTCCGCCACCATGTCCTTGCCCGGCCAGCTGCGCCCCTCTTCCCGTCGGTGGGCTCCCAGCGTCAAGGTCCCAGCAGCGCCCTCTACCGATGGCTGGCGCTGACGTGTGGCCATGCCCGACCACTCCCTCCCCAGTCTCCGCCCGCACGTTGTCAGAGCTGGGAAGCCGCTGTAAGCGCTGCCGTCTCCTCAGCCTTTCCTTCTTGCCGGTAACTGGAGCACCGAGCCGGGCGCGCTCCTTGCTTTGCTTCCCGGGGCGGCCCGCGCCATTATGTCTCGTGCCGTCCCGCTCCTCTTGATGCTGTTCTGCTTGGCCCAGCGCCGCGCCTCCCTCGCCGGGCCCACCGCCTCGTCTCTGGAGAGCGCGGCGGACCCCTGCCTCAACCAGCCCTGCAAGAACAACGGCACCTGCACGCCGGTCTTAGCCAAACTGCCCGCCGCGCCCCACCGCCTGCCGTTGCTTTTCCTTTTGCCTCAGCCTGCTTATAGCTGCCTCTGTCGCCCGGGGGTCACCGGCACCGAATGCCAGGTAAGCCGGGGAATGGGGCGCCTTCCCTTGGGGGGTGGGGGTGGGGGGACCTTGTGGTCTAATCAGTCCGAGCCTTGCAAAGCGCTCGCCCGTCCTTCTTCATCTCCGCCTTCTTAGGCTTCTGTCTCGGATGTCTTTTCGTCCTCCACCTGCCGCCCCCGCGCCTTGGACTCGATCGGCCCGTGCTTTCGCGGATTCTTCCCCCTTCCATCCTATCCATCACCTCCCCCCCACCCCCAAATCTCCTCCACCCCGTAGATCGCGTAGTGATTTTGGTTCGCTCCGCAGCCGTGATCTTCCTTGGCGGTCGCTCTGCGTTGCTTTGCACTGGTCCCTAAGTGTGGTTGGAGTTCCTACATGCAGAATCCTGATCCGACCGCTCTCATTTCGGTTTCTACGTCCGATCCGGGGCACGCGACTCATTGTGCAATCATCCACCGTGATCCGTGACGGATCGCTCGTCTGTTACACGGACCGAGCCAGACCTCTCTGTGGAACCGAGTCCCGTGGCCTTCACACATAAGCGCTAACAAGGGCAAATGCTTGGAGTGCTGAACTTGAAGGACATATTCTATGCGCTCACCAAAAACCTTTCCATATGACCACCCTTCCTATGTAAATGATTTTGCACCACTTTAACTAAAGATTTTTAAAAAATAGTTCTAAGTGTGGTTTAGTGTAACCTTGGTTATTATTATTATTTATGGCTTTTCATATTATGCAAACCCTCGACTCACTTTATGATTCATTGTGCCGTGTGAATCAGAAAATGGGTTGATTAAGTAAGCAGGTTGAGCGTGCTATGTGAAGGCAGCCTTGTATTTCTAAGAGATGCCACCGAAGATGCCAATTTGGACTCTTCTTTTTGAGCTGCCTGAATTAGGCTGCTTGGGGTTGTTAGAATGACAGTTGCAGAAGTACCTTCCAGGATACAGTATGGCAAATTGTTGGTTGACAGAATTCTGTTCTGCTCAAAATTAAAAGTATTTTAGAGCTTAATGATGTTTTCCAACAGGGTCTTGGTACTTTCACATACAGATTTTTTTTTTCTAGTGATGAATATTTTTTAAAAAAAATTTGATTTATATGTCGCCTTCTCCAGAGACTCAGGGCAGCTTACAATGTGTTAAGCAATATACTAGTGATTTTTGTCACTAATAGCCAAATGAGGGCTTGTTCACAGACTTTGGGTAATCATATGGTTTCCCATTTTTATTGGAATTAAAATAGATAAATAAAACAACTAGAACTGCTATCCCCCCCCCTCAAATCTTATGTTTTAGTATAAAGAATACAACTTTTGCTAACATCTGTTATGAAATGTTATATCAACCCAGTTTGGTCTGGAAAAGAAAACAGCTCATTTGTTTCTGGTCTTTAAAATGGTGCATTGATATTTGTCTTTCATTCTTTCTGAGGAAAAAAGATGAAGAGGAGGAGGAGGAGGAATAGAATGATGGTGGTGGGGATGATGATGATGGGTTTGGTTTTAGAATAAGGCTGCAATGTACTACATTTCTGTGCATGTTTACTTGGAAATAATTTCATAAAACTAATGGCTTTTACTTCTGCATAATTATGCCTAGGCATAGGTTGCTAATCAGTGATGCTAATTTTACCACACTAAATTTACTGAATATTTTTAACATGGCAAAAAGGTTGGTAATCTTTCTCTTTCTCCCTCCCCCTCCCAATATTATGTAAGATGTTGCATTTATGAATACAGGGATAAGAAAAGAACAAAAGGCTACTGTGTGAAATACTGAAAATTAAAGACTTTATGAAATAACTTGGGAAAAAGAAGTTCTGCATTTTATGTCACAGTGCCCCTCTTTCTGCAATGCAAGTTTGTGGGAGGCTGGATCAAACCGAGGAGAAATAAATGGAACTCTTTTAAACCAAGTGAATCTTGTAAATTAGGTGTTGACTGTTCCTAGGTTTCCTTCTGTGTTTGAAGAAAGAGAGTGTTGTATGAATTGTGCTGCCTTCTGGAAGTTAACAAAGGTAAATTGCTATTTTAAACACCAGTAAAGTGTAATGTCTAGAGAAGAAAGAATTACAACCTGAGATATGTTTTAGCCATTTATATCCACTTTGTTCAATTCTCATTATTGTATGCTTTTATATAATTAATCCTAAATGTTATTGCATGAAATCATTGTAAACTAAAGAACACTAATAAGTATATTTAAATTATTTTACATTTTGTTGCAAGAGTTAAGATTATGACTGATTTGATTTGATCAAATTGGACTGTTTTTTTGTACTATCGGAAAAGCTGAATTATCAAGTCAATTTGTTTCAAAGCGACCCAGACACAATAGATACTCAAGCTTTCCTGCAAAACAAAATGCCTGATTTTCCCAGTGAAGGATTCCTGTCCCCTTGACCAGGTGGCAGAATAAAGGAGATACTGTATGTGAGGCCATCGGAAACACCCCAGAGCCACCAACATAGCTATAGGTCTTCCTAGAAGAACTTTTGTTTACAATTGAGTGTTTGTTCTTCTCTAAGATTTTCAAGAAACAAGAGAAGATAAAGGTATAGGTTTTGGTAGCAGAAGTAGGATCGGCTGCAGATTGAAAGGAGATACCAGACAAGTTGATTTGATCATTATATTTAAAAGGTATCTTGTTGATGGTTAAAAAAAATAAATGGCTTTTTAATGGAACTTCATCTTTCTGGAGCAATAGTTCCTGATTATAACCTCCCCATGGTGTTGAAATTTCTGCCCAGCTTGTTGTCCTCCATGATTTTTGTTTTTGTATTTTCCTATTTCCCAGCAGACACAATTACAATTTTATTTATTAGCTCTACTGCAGCTCATGACAATATATACAGAGTTCCCTCTTTCATTTTCTTCATAACAAACCTGTGAGTCTGATAGGGCTGGGAGAGGGACTATCTCCAAAGTAATCTAATGAGTTTCCTCCACCTTGATGTGTGGAGACACTCTTCAGATGGCGGAAGCTTTCTTGCTAGATCTAAAAGCATTTCCTCCCACCAGTCATTCCATGAAACTTAAAACTTATATGATTTTAGGATTGTTGAATACAATTGTAGATATCACGAGAAATGCTTTTTGTTGCATTACCCTCCTTCCCAAATATTTGCACCTAGGTCTGTCATTTTGAGAAAGGATTGAAAACCACCATACTGAATCAAGATCAAGAAGAAACGATCATGGATGAGAAACTAAATTTCTAGTATATGGGTGGATCAAATTGGTTGTAAACTAATTTTTGTTTTTCACTGAGATGCTAAGGAAGAAAGATTTGTTTTCCACTCTCCAAAGTTTGATTATAAAAATATTAAATATATTTGAATTATTTTGTGTTTTTAAAATATATATTCACATCTTCCCATGTTTCCCTTAAATTATAACTTAATGTTTGAACATGTAGATCAGCATGTTTACTATGTTTTCTATGTCTTGCCAATGTTAATTAACCTCTGAATGTGATTTTGAAAGGATGCCCTTAAGAGTTAGGTGTAAAACCAAGCAATTCAGATTGTCTTTATGGCAAATAAAGTGTCCTTCTGTTTATGCATCATGAGTTATATAAATGCTTAGAAAAGGTTCTTTCCTTTTAAAGTACTCAAAAAGTCTATTGAATCCATTGAAAAGGCTGCTTTGCATAATTTACAGGTCATTACTCTGTAAATTGTTTGCTTCAAGAAATACTTCAAGAGTTTCAAACACTATGATTTGCCTTCCTGTATTCATAGTTGAAAGGCCTTGAGAAAAGCTTTGTAAGGAAATTATTAACAAAAAAAATTCAATACATCAGAGTGTTTTAGTGTTCTATTTTCTAATTTATTTTTCTCTAATAATCATTTTCATTTTTCTATTATGCCTGCTATCATATCAGTAGCATAATGAAATACTGTACATGCTTTACATTATATCATAGACTTTCTAATACTATATATCGAGTAATCAGTATTGCTTATACAGCTAACATATGAATCATACTTATTATGCACTTCACCAATTCATTCAGAATTTTTAGAATGGATATTGATGACATAAAACATGAAGCTTAAAACATCTGCTTTAAACAATTGATGAAGCAGTTTTTTGAACAGGTAAAGAATTCTATCTTGTAGGGTGGTGGAATATATTATGTTTGGTGATCTACTGGAATTATTGGAATGATAATAATATATTATTATCTGGCCATAGAACCAGAACATTTACTAAAATGCATATATAAACTGTTGTTCAATTATGATAGTGGGACAGAACAAAGAAAAAAAATTGCATGATAAAATGGATGCAAAAGTGTAAAGAAACAAGCTATAGCACAATGATGGGAGCAATTATGGGACAATGGTATAAAATCTACCCTAGATTATAATATTAGGGAAAACTGATATAAAATATTTTATAATTGATATATAATTCCATTAATAATCACCAGGAAAGACATATGGTAATAAATGTTGAAAATGTCGTAAGACACAAAGAACATTTTATTCTATGTAGTGAACATGTAAAACACATTTCAAAAGTACTACAAAGGAATTTATAGATTATCCAGAGGAATTTAGCTAATTTAAAATGAAACCAAAATTCTTCTTAGTAACCTAATTCTAAAACATATTAACAAAACATACCACCACTTTATATGGTGGCAAGGATAACTTTAGCACAACATTACAATACATATACATAATTAAAGAGCTCAGAATGGGAATTGAAACTTGGACAATATGCAGTAATGGCAAAATTAATTGGATCACCACGTGTGAACGTGAACGTTTTGCGCCTGACAGCAGGAGATGAGCAAAATTTGGCCTGGTTATTATTTGGCTAAGCAATCACCAGAGATAGCAAAGGCTGTAGGGAAAGTTAAAAAATAATTCAGAAGCCAGCAGCAACTATCTTGATATTGTTATGACTTTGTACATAAACTTACCAAAAACTGAGCTTGACTTGAAGAAAACATTTACATTTATGCCTGATTTGTTGTCTCTGGACTTAGACTTAAACCTAT